ATATCAAGTCTCCACCAAAGAAATAAATATTGCATAGGCCTTATGCTTTGTTTGCTGCCAGCAAAACTGTCCTACTAGGATTACTTTATGGGCGCAGCAACTGACTGTCAAACACTAGCAATTTTAATCATTTCTCAATTTGCTGTGTGAGCTGCAAGTATGCTCAGGTATTTTGAAAGGTGGCTGTTCGGAACAAATATCTGAGCCCAGTAGCTTCATACTGGCTTGCTTTTCTGCACGCTGACAGTTCCTGTTGGAAGGCGGGGACGCAAGCCCTAGCTGAGCAGGCAGCACGCATGCAGGACAGGAGCTGTGCTCTTCAGCCTCGCTGCATTTGCAACCAACAGTGAACACAAGGAAAACAAAAAAGTTAGCCTGAAGTATAGTGCAAACCAATAACTGTGCAATATAACGTGTCACTTGTTTTTTTAAAACATTTCTTATCACAAACAAGTTGAACATCTGAAAAAAGTGGACAGAGAATCAGCAATAATTTTAAATTACAGAGAACCTGAAATATTTACTTTTCTGTGAGGCTAAACACAAAACGTGCTTTCAGTATTACACGCGATTAACTTATGTCCTAACTGAACATCCCCATTTAATTATCTTCAGCCTAATCTACAAGGCAAGAGTAAAAATCATTTTAGCTCTTCTGTTGGTTTTCTAGTAAACAGTATAACTATGCTGTTTTCAGCCCACAGCACTTTGCGTCATACAAAAACAAGTTCTTAACTCAAAAAAAGGACTATTTATTGATTTTGAAGTCCAAATATTGAAGTGTCTGGATGCTTGGTAATTGCAAAAAGCCCAACATTCTGCCAGGGATTTTAAGTTGGATAAGCAGAAATTGGGAAAAAAGAGGCCCCTAAAATCTCTAGTCACTTTTGAGAAATTAAGCCAGAAGAGTTTCTATTGACAGGTGTATGGAATTATGTTTTCCTAAAGAAATGAACCAATAATACAGAAGCATCATAACAGATCACTTTTCAGATATTGGTCTTTATACATTAGCATTCTTGGCTTCACCCCTCTGGAGTGAGCTGAATCTGTGCAGTGGAAAGGATTTGGATTATGATGTAAACTAACAGTAAAGACAATGCCAAATAACATCTAATGTCCAACGTAACTACTGTTTACATATTAAAAAGAGATACAGGCTTTGTACCGGGGATGTTCTGTCATGTTTCTCCACAGGAGAAGACTGTCATGGTAAAGTTCATTATCAATTACTGCTTTACAAGTACAAGATGAGTTAAGCTGTCATAATTTTCTCAGCCAGAGATCCTGTGCTGTCAAAGAATGTCAGTTTCTAATCTGACAAAAGGAAGAAAATTATCTGTTATTCTGACCTCTAATTTCTTGACATTTTAATGCTGTAATTGCTGTGGTTAGTGCTGCAACCATGATTTCACCTGTCAAGTAAGAATGAATCAATATCCTTAAGCAGTTCTTCAAATTTTAGTTTACACCTGGCTGCTGCTTCTTCGAAAAAGGATAAATTTACAAATGAGAAAATACAAAAGGTTGCAACGAAAAACAAAAGAATAATTAATTTGGGGGCTGGAAAATATTTATTCTTTGATACATACTTTTTCTCATTATTAAAATATGAAAACAATTTTGCAACGTACAGAATAAGAGGCCACTAGAACTGATAGAACTGAAGAGCTTCCTAACTTCTAATCAGAAATGTCCTAAACAAAATTATGTTTAGACATTCTGTACAGCAGGTCAAGACTCTCATTTTGATCTCATCCCTATTTGAAAAACATTAAGGTGATTATCATATTTTTGTGGCATGAGACAATCACAGAGTTACTTGACAAATCAAAATCAGTATGTTTAAATGAAATTAGTATATTTTATCCATCTAACGCAGCTCTTAAGTTCCCAAAGACCTGTTATAGGGATAAACACATCTGATTTTATATATTCCGGCAACCTAAAATATAATGCTACTGCAGCTTCTAGTTGCAATATAATGCTATTCCATTTTCACCCTGTGTGAAATTGCAAAATTGAAAATGAAGAGATAACTTCTAAGTCAGAGAGATTCTCTTATACTACATAGGTCAAAAAGGAAAACGCACAGGACATTTTTCCAGTGTTAGATGGAAAATAGTTCTTAAGGGGCTCCTCGTGCAGCCTATGCACGTGAGAAAGAAGTAACTACTGGCCGGGATGAACTATCCCATCACTGAATATATTTGTGCTCCAGACAAATAGCTACTGAAGTTAATCTTACATCACTCTTAACAGAAAGCTAAGAACAATATTTTCCTCTGGGTTTAAATGAGGTGGTCAAGAAACAGGTGGAAGTGAAAAGGCCATGGAATAGTGAGGATAGGCCACTGGGATCTACGTTTTCAAATGATGTGTTTCAGTAAGCTCAGACCAAACTGCTTTTTTTAATTTGGAGCCTTATTTCCTTTGACAGGTTCTGCTGGGACTCAACTCAGTATGAAATTAGTTATGGCCACAGTTTGAGGAGGCTACCAATTTATTTGAGTTCAATGGCCTGATAGCAGCTGCTACTGATAAAGTTGAATTGATTTGCTTATTCCATAATCATTTATCGGGAACATTCAATACGTGTTTCAGTCTATTTTGCAAATAAATATCAAGAGTATTTGGATACTGTGATATAAGGTTTCCTGGGTGGCTGCTAAGCTCAATTAATTTAAAGTTACAGTGCTTCCAAGTTAAAACGCCAGACATCAACACCTGCTAGTGCAAAACATATTGAACAACTGTAATCATTATTTTTAAAGCTGCTGATGTGCCTATATTTACATTTCTGTATTTCTAAGGGGTCTTCATAGGCTTATGATCTTTTTACTTTAAATATATTTTCTGGAATATCTAGTACAAGCAAGAATAAAACAAAGAAAAATGATGCAAACAAAAAAAATTATATAGAATAGAATATAACAAAAACATGACATCCAAATACCTGATCTTCTAGATCATCCGGATGTCAAATGCTTCACTAGTGGCCAGAGAATATCTGCTACTTTCGTAAACAGAGTTCAGAGAAATGAAAAAGGCTCTAAATCTGCCTATGTATAGGCAACCATGTTGTAAGTTTTGATTAAAAATGATTAAAAAGGATGTTTTAAACCTGTTTATATCAGACCACAAACCACTAATGTTTTAACTCTCTAGGAGGAGAAAGTATATTATTTTTATATACAAATATACAATTTTATAAATCTCTCTATAACAAATATTAAGAGGATCTATTTTTTACTAGACATTTTGTCTTCTGTTCAGTAAAAATGAATTTTATTTACTAATCTTACTTGTGGAAATGAAGATAAAAATTCTGCTTTTGGAAGTTTATACAGCACAAATAAAAGCATAAGTATAGGTTTATATGCTATTGAATGACAGGGTATGGGCTAGATGTAAAGCCAGTGAACAAAAACATCCCCATAAATTTCTCGAAATTTCTGATGACAAGTTATGCATGTAAGTGGAGCCACAGGAGAGCTGGAGAGTCTCATCCTGTCATAAGATGTTAAATAAGGTGCACAGATAGGCACATAGGCCTCAGTCCTACAAGCTGCCCTGCGGGAGCAGACCCTTAAAGTCAAGACATAGGAGTCTGCCCATGCAAATGAGGGCCTTAAACCATGCAAATCCCTTGTATGCATGGTACTTGACACCTGTTTTATACTTTAAATAACATCGTTCCTTTGTGTACACTGTTTTGTATCTTATTGATGCTTCTGTGGCTTAGAGTCTTTACATCCAGAAAGCAGTTATGTAGAAGTTAACATTAAACTTTTGAGGCAATGAAATCAGTGCAATTCATCCCATTCTTAAAAATAAGCAAATACAAACTGTTTACAAAATATAAGCTTTATAGTGCATGCCGTGAAGATCCAGCCATAATAATCTATTGATCTGAATTTTTTGGGGTTCTTTTGCCTCTGATGAGGCATAAAAGCGTAGAAAGAGACGTACAATGCACTACTAAAAACATGACAAAACCCAACATCTAGCAGAATATAAATGCTTTTTAGAATCTATTTCTTTCGAAAATCTGTAGATTCACATCTCCAAGGTTTAAAAACAAACAAACAAACAAACAATAATAACCCATTTCCTGGCAATGTATAAATTACTATTGTTTTGCATACAGCAGATGGTAGTTATCTGGGGGAATGGAAGATTGCATGTATAGCTTCATCACCGCAGCACTCATCTAGCAGCTGTTGCTTCTTCACACTTTTCACCCAATTTCAATTGTTTTATCCAATGAATGGATGATATTACAGAAATAATTATTCAAATTAAGAGTCTTACTAAAAACAAATACAGTGAGTGGAAAAAAACATCTATTAGGATAGCTAGTAGAATTTTTCTTGAAATTTACCCATAAAATTTAAAACACACTTGTATATGTATATGTACGTATAAATATCATACACACATATATACACAAACATACACATTTGTATGCCCACAGTTCCCACAATTAGCTAATGTTTTCCATTTTAGTGACATTGTCATTATACTTCACATAATTAACACTAAAGAAATTGAATTGTTTCTATTTTCCATCTATTCCGTTTCTATTCTAATTCAGATACGCAATCTCTCCTACATTTTCTGACTGCAAAGGTTAGAATTTTTCCCTACTTTTGACGTAAGGTTTTGTTTAAGATTTTTGGCTCTACTAATTGAGTTCATTAAAAGTAAACTATAAAAAGTAGTAGAATATATATTATAGAATATACATTACACTGTAATTTCTCATAACATCATATGTTATATCATATGACCATTAAATATCTTAGTAAATTCAAGTAAACAAAATACTGTGGGACATCTGCTTTTTTACTAGCTTATTAATACTTCTAAAGTCACCTAGGGCCTAAGTTTTGAATTAAATCACACTCTACAATTTTTTCCAGCAGTGAAAGATGTAAAAGTCCCAGTTCTTGGGAGATGACAGCAGTTTTTAGAATGAAATGGCAGTAAGCACCTACCTCCCTGAGGACAGGATCAGTGATACTGTCCAGGTTCACAGAGCCTTCATACGTTAGGTAGTGGAAAACGTTGAGTGCACGCACTGCTTCTGGTCCTCGTTGCTTGTAGCCAAATATAAGGTCAATCCACTGATGAAGCTGACATGATACAAACTCACTTTCCAGGGCCTGAAAGTGAAATTCTGAGTTAGGAAGCAAATTCCATCTCGCGATTTCATGCTTAAATTATGTCTTGCCTTCCTATTAACTGAGGAAACATAATGCACATGATTACATTTCTTGTTCAGGTATATCCAATGTATTTGAAATCCTTCAAATATTAAAAGGTAGATATAATTATATTATAAGAAAACCTGAAAAGATATTCTTCATGTTTTATTCAGCTTTATATCAAGTCAATTTTCTTCTTCTCAGCTACTGGGTTTCTCCTAGCTGCAAGGGTTTTAATTGTTAGTTTTCAGACTTGTCAAGTAAGTTATGTAATTTGTCAGAAAATTTGATGGAAATAAGAAAACAATTTCAAAAACGCAATCCTCCAATTCATTTTCCAACTACTTCTAATTAGTTTTAAATATAAAGTGAAAGCTTAAGGATTAAAAAGCTCTATGAGCAAAATTAAATTCTGACCTCTGTGTGAATTGTGACTTACTGAGTATTTCTCAAAGTCAAAAAGCATTTTTCACACTCATTTTTGGTATTAGGTTGGTTTACTAGAGAGAAGACAGGCCATGATGAGCTAGTTCAAAAACGGATTCAAGGATTTCTATTCCTTTGCTCAGCATATGGAAAGAAATTAATTCTAGCCAGAGGAAATCATGATACTATTACCATTGAGCCTGATCCAAGCAATCTGCCTTTATTAGATATTATTGGCTGCATTATTAGATATCACTGCCTGAACTGGATTTTTCAAAGGCTGACAGCACTATACAGCCTCTCCTTACTCCTCTACCAGACTACCCGTCTTCGCTTCCCATGGGCCTGTACCCGGATACACAAATAATTTCCCTATAAAGACTCTCAGAATGTGTTTAAGCGAACTGTGTTGCGTTAATGGATTTGTTTATCACCCATCAGTTTTAATAATAATTAAAGCAAAAGCATAAATTTTAATGTATATAAGTTGATGCACTAATGCATATAAGTGATGTTGCACTATCCGGTTGCAACATTGCCAGTAACAATTCAAATGAAACCAGAAGTCACATTAAAAAGTTCAATAAGTCTGTCTCTGAGGGAACTTTTCTACTGGGGCTCAGGTTTCAATAAATGCCATTCTTAGTTGGCCCTACGCCCCTGGAGAGTCTTCTGAGCAGGGCATCCTGGCACACTCATTTCATCCTCCCTAAAACTACCTTAGGAGAAGGACTGTGATAAACGATACTAAAATGAAGACTCTTGTTCTATTATCACGATTTTTATGTGTGTCCTTGCCTGAACTACATCACAGTCCTAGTCTTGTACTGCATCATATACCTAGTGCCTCTCAACTGAGGGAGAGAGTTAGATCTGGGAACTAACTTCCAATTAGTTTGTTAGAACACAGAAAATTTAAGTTATTTGTAGCCAGACCTTGCTTAACTAACAGAACTTTTGTTACTGCAGTAGTTTAGACTCTTTATGACTTCTGAGCTTTGTGTTTGCAGAACACAGGATCCCTTTGTGCCCGTACACAGAAATGGAGCTTTAGAAGTACAGTAAGATGACTGCCTACAGTGAAGCGCTCTACTGATTTACACTGATTTCACTTTTAAAATTTATACAGACAGAACGTGTTTCAGCATCAATACTACCTAGCTATGAGCATCAGAGAACAGAATATTAGGTGCCGTGGGGACAGCATACTTTGTGAATTTTATTGCAGCTTTTATTATTGGGCATGTTGAACATCTCATAACTTATTCCAAAAGAAGAAAGTAATTCTGAAAGGTCTTCTGAAAAGGTAAACAAAGTGGTGTTCAGGAATACTGATTTGCTAAGTACCTCTAGGTACCGCTTCTCACATTGTAACACATTGGTATGAAAACTCTTTTTCTGAACACAGCTAGAATTCAACAAAGTGCAGTGTTATTTGGCTAGTTCTTAAAGTGAAGGTGTTTAGTCACCGTGCATTTAGTAGAAAATTGGGCTCCTACATTAATGTTTCTGGAAAATAAAACCAACCTTAAGATGATTTATTATGTAAACATGCATGTCAAGTCTACCATTAGTCAGTGCAGACAGGAAGAGTTGGCAGCAACCCTCTATATTATATTATTCAATTCTTTTCATTCTCAAAGATTTGTGTGGTTTATTTGTTTTCTTTTCCGAGAAATTCTAGCATGCTGCCACTACTCAAAGGAAATACGTTCAGCAAGGATAGGGTTTCATATTTGCTCCAGGGAAGTTTAAGTTTTACAGGGAGATAAAAGGGCAGCTTCAAGACACTTGCAGAAATAATCATCAGCTGTGGGGCCAAGCAATAAAATAACCATCAGGAGCAACCCCTTGCCCACCCCACTGGGGCAGCAGCACGCAGGGCAGCCTCTCCTGTCTGCCTCCCCAGATCAGTCATTCCCAGCACATTTTCCCTGTAACGCTCCACTTGCAAGAGGAACTCTCTGTGGCGTGCGAGAAAACTCGGCCCTCTTCTGCCCATCCCAGGGAATGTTTTTCCCGAGCAAAATGGATGGGGAGGATCAGTCTTAAGAGTTGACCTGTGCCTTGGTTTTCAAGAGCTTAAGTTCAGCAGACTATAAGGTGCTATAAGGAAATGTTGCAGAGAACCATATAACAATTTGTTTTTTCCTTTTCAAAATCACAGGACATCGCATGCAAATTGTGACTAATAGTATTAAAATAGCATTAATACTACTTAATATCAAATACTATTAAAAATACTACTTAGTTTCAAAGCATGTCTCTCAATAAATTAAGAAATGCTAGGTCCTTAATCATATTGCACTGAGTGCGTGTAACATGAAATAGTCAATAACTGCTTGACCTTGTATAATCTTTTCCATAGGACTTTTATCTCATTCAGCATGCAAGATGTTAGTACGCAAGGATAAAACTAACTGTGCCAAGGCCATCATAAATAAAGCATTTCCTAACTTTTAAATGCTTGATTTTTAATGTTCCTTTTTATGTAATTAAATTTAAAATACAATTTCAAGTCTGTTGTCTTTCCAGATTCTGTCTCGGACCAACTTATAGCTGGCGGGCCTAACTGTTCTCTTCCGTCTCCGAGTTCTGCATATTTATATGGTTTTCTTGCATCCATATTCATTATTTATTTGTTAATAAAGTAACTAATGGAGAAAAATGTTAGGTGTTTGTTTTAGTCAGAAAGACCATCTTCACTTCTAGACTACACAGAAGTGAACATTCCAGGAAAATCGCTAAATTTTTAGAGAAATGCAGACTACTTAAAGGTAGGACAGTAAAAGTTGTAAAAATAAATGCTTGGGTCAAATCAGCATATTTCACACATTAATTTCTCTAACATCCTCTTCCCCCCGTTAGGAAAGTTGAATGCCTAGGTTATGTTTCCCTGAGGCAGTTTCAACTTGCATGACCACCCCTTGCTCAGCAGCTTGTCATTCCAGGGAAGGTCTTACTGACACTGACTGTTTTGGAGAACTTCTAGTTCACACGGATGAACTGTTCTTTAATAACTTACTGAATAAACAAAGTATTTTTTAACAGCAGCATGTCATGTCTTCTGTCTCCAATTCTTTAAGCAGGTTGATCGTACTGTACAAGTCTATGTTTCCTTAAAGGTCTGTATGCTGAAATGCAGTAAAAGATTTGGGGAAATTTCTAAGGGCTGAATTTAATTATTTTGAACTAAAAATTTCAGAATTCCACATAAAATAGGACATTCAAGGAATTATTGTCAACAGGGCTGGGCCTGAGTTATAGGGTGCACTCAGAGACAGGCCACCGAAGGGCTGCCAAGTCCTACGCAGCCCTTGGTGGGGAACAGGCTCCTGATCTGCGCTTTCCAACCCGGACTCGTCTGAGTCGGATAAAGCTCCTGCCACTGACGTGAGGTCTGCTACCTGGCTTGCTGGTACTGCTCTCAAGTACTTCTGTTACACTATTCATGCGATTTGATACTTATAGGATCTTCGCCCTAATTTGCTCTAATGCACAGACTGCTCCCTTGCTGTTTTAGTACCTCCTGAAAATTTATGAGCTGTTCACTGTCAACAGTACATGGTTTGGTTTCTCAAGGATATGCAAGGCTCAGTGGGGAACAGGGTGAGGGAATTTTCTGCGCAAAAAATAATTTGTAGGTACAGCAGCAGCAGCATACAGAAAAAAACAATAATAAGATCTTTAAAACAGGCTGGTTATTGCCTTGCAGAACAGAGCTTTTGAGAACATTTTGGGTTTAAAATATTTTGGGGGCTTTTAATTTTTTGGGCATATTTTCAATCTGAAATTTAAGAAAACAAAAAAATCCATTAACTTATATAAATATAGATTATTATGTAAGACTTTTAGTGGATTCTTACTGTTAAATAGAAATGAGCTAATATCCCATTTATTTTCCATTATAATTAAAATAAACAGAAAATCATTAGAGTTATATTTTGGCACTCTCAAACTGAACTTGTTTGGACCACTGTTATATATCACTACTGCTTCATTTTCATATTGTAATATTCAAGTCACAGTACTTTTTCATGGTTTTTGTTTTGAGTGAGGAATCTCTTATGTTATTATTTTAAATGCAAGATGACTTGTACTGTTAATACTAAATTGTAAGCAGTATTCCGTGTTCAGTGGAAGGCAAATAAATATTTCAAAGTGAAGGTACTGTAGCTTTTGTGTGTTTGCATGCAAATGAAAGCACAAATGTTCCACAGATTGAAAATCTGATCCCTAACTGTTATAAAATATAAATATGTATTAGTAAGTTTATACACACACATATACATTCATATGTGTGCGTGTGTGTATGCATATACATATATGTATGTATATATGTATGTCAAATAATTAAATTAAAGGTAATATTAGCCAAATTACCATTGGACAGTGTTAAGTAGTATAGCTATTTCCAATTTTATTTATTGAGAAAGTATAGGAATTTCATGTATCACTCCTCAGTAACGCTAACCTTCTAAGCTATGAACAGCTGAAAATCTAACCTTCCCACTAGATGTCTGTCTAAGAAA